AATACAAAAAATTACTAGTGCAATGTGTTCTCCAGACTCAGAAGAACAAGAATATGTCAATGAAATTAGCATTAATTTAAACAGAAGCAAGTTAAATGGAATAGAAAGACTCGGACAATTTTTCGCTAAAATAAAAAGTTACGCAAAGTCCCTCTTTGATGCCTTCGGTCACAAAAATGAACATGTTTCGTTCCAAATCAATGTCAGATCCTTAAAATATAACTCTTGAGGAACACTTTTGACCCTTAAAAAATGCGATTCGCCCGAATCGCCCATGACCGACCTGTATCATTGACTCGATCCACCGTGCGGCGACTCGGTACTCCGCCGTGCCTACAGAATGCGCTAGCGTCGCAGACTTTTGCCACGCACACAGCTGAAGCAATAAATCGACGATAGAAAAATTGTAATAAATTATTTAATAACGACACTATCAATAATTTGACTTGAGCATATGTACAATTTCATTGTGACCAAAAAAATATAAAATTATGTGAGTGAGTAAATACACTTACCTAACTTAAATTGACGTGAAAAAAGTCACGTCACACCCTCCTTGTAACGCTTTTGCGACGTAGGTTCCTATCCCTTAACGCGTAACAACACAGTGGTGTAACGCTCTCCTCTACTCTCCTCACCCTAGAGCGTTACGTTATTTACGTTACGTAACTCGGCGGATCTGTCAACCCCGGAAGTTGCGGACCCCGGTCCATCGTCGCCAGATAGTGCTGAAAAATCACATCTTATCTTCGTAATCAAACTCAGTTGAACTTGAAACATCCTAAATTTACTGCGCACAACTTGACAGCCTCGCCTCGGCCCCGGCCCGCGCATCCCCAAGACGGACTCAATAATTAAGGGCGACGATTAAATTTAGTGCCGCACGGTGAAATACAAAATTTCGCCAAGATTAATTCACCGAGTCTGAAAGCTCCCCTCTCGCTCTCCCCCTTTCCGTCCCCCCCTCACGGTTCCCTTACGCGGCCTCGTACGAATAAAACCCTCGTTTGTCTTGACAATGCTTCAAATAGTCGCCTTCCTGACATAAGGGCGTAACTACACTCGACGATGAGCCCTGTTGTCCATATAACTCAATGCCATCTCAGGCTCATCTCAAATTGTAATTACGCCCTTTTGTCAGCCAAGTGACGAAATGTTCCTCTTTTGGGAGTTCATCTCTTCGGTTTGGGACTTGGCAAATGTCAATAGGGCTAAATTTAGAGGGAAAAAACTGGGGTTTTTCCGGAGGGATGGAATCTGATCGCCGGGAGTGGATTGCAGAATGTCACGACGCAACGCTAGGAGAGCTCCCTAAGCATCATTTTGTGACTGAAATGTTGCATTATATGGGAACATTCGTACAATTTGTTTTTGAATTTTACTGTATTTTTTTAAAAATTTAACACTGTCCGTTTTTTATTTAAAATAATTGTCATTGGAGAAAACCAAATTTTCAATGGCTTAAAAACTAGACATCTTTCTGGAAAGAGGGTTACTCTCACTGAGCCAACCCCCCACCACTCCTGAAATCTTGGTTTTTCCGTTTTTCAGTACTTTCGGGGTTTAGGCTAAAATTTCAAGAGGTTTTGTGCTGGTGTTAAGAAATTTGACCAGATTTTAAAGTTTTATTAATAGCTATTAAACGATCGATTAAACGTCCCTCGAAATTTTAACGGTACCTAATCTAGGATTGCGCGAAAGGTCTAAGAAAATATACGAGGATTGCGAGAGTGAAAACATCTGCTACAGAAATGCGCGAATTTAAAATGAAGTTAATGTAAGGGAGAAGTTTGGCAGAACAGGAAACAGTTGGAAAATAAACGCATTTTTATGTTGACGCTAGTTTAAGTTAGTTCGTTGACAAGTCATCGATAACTTACCTCCTGATGATAAATGAAGTGAAAAAATTGAATAATGGTCATGGGTATAAAGAACTTTCCTAACTTTTCTCGGAAACTATATTTAATCGGGATAAACGAGGCAACGTTGGAATGCTCATACGGCCCGTAACACAACATGGGCCTTTCAAGCTCCATTATTCGATGCCGCAATTATTCTATCGCGAGTTCGAATTATCGTATCAAACACAGTGCGGCCGGCGTTAAACGTACATTAGCGCCTGCAAGACTTTAGGAATACTTCATGCATTGCGCCAAACAGTGCGGTCGGCGCAAAGCCCATTTCAGCGCCTACAAGACTGCATGGATACTTCTCGCATTGCGCGAAACGCAGTGCGGTCGGCAGTTGGCGTGGAACGCATTAGCGCCTACAAGACTGATGGAATGCTGTAGGACTGCGTGTCATCATTCTTGACTTTTTGCTCCAGTTTTCACCATAAATAAAGGGAAAATATGTATCCTCATCGTAACAATTCAGAAACTCAGGTGCTTTTTTTTTGTTTTTGTTTTTTTTTTTTTGCCTACATTAAAAGAAAATAGAACGAACGAAAATATCGCGTTGAAATTTCGATACTTTTATTTGTGATCATTTAGGTAAATTCGCGGAAACTTTTCAGAAAAACTCTGTCTAGCTTTTTAAAAACATTTATTAATAAAACATAGAAGTGGAAAAACTCTTTTCTCGCCTTGTCACACCTACCTCGCATGGCATACCCACCATTCCTCCCGCTTTTCTTAGCACTCGGGTCTTGAACCGCGCGGCGAGGCGTGAATGATCGAGTATCGATATTTCCCCAATTCGAAACTACGGTAAAGGATCGATTCTTAAGGTGTTCGAACGCCCTTTCTATCGATCTTTTTCCATAGGTTTAAATGACAGATCAATCGATATATCGCAAAACAAGCCACGCCCTTGTTCAGAGGGCATCGATTACGAGGACTTCAGCTCACCCAATGAAAATTGAAGAATATGCGTGGAACATTTTTAGAAATTTAGGTGAAAAGGACTGAAGTTAGGACACCTGCTCTTCAAAATACTGCAGAGGGCTGGAAGCTGAAAGCGTGTTCCGGCGAGTATTTATGGGTGTCGTTATTCTCCGTACAAAATCGCAAGCTGAGACAAACGCCGCTTGCCGTTCCGACAAATCAAATTTCACTGGAGCGAAGATGTGAGATAAAATTTAGTTTTTTATTCGAACAAATAGAATCCTACCTCATCCCGTAGACAGAACTGATATGTTATCAACTCTCAATGACTAGAGTTAGACTGCAACTAGCATATTTTTTTTTTCGGATCGGCGTGGCAAATGCGCGCATAAAGTGTAGGGATTAAATTTTGAGGATATTCTTCAATTAGAATATTACGCCGAACACAAATTAATATCGTTTACAGCGATGAAGATAAGGGAAAGACCTGCCTTCTCATTCGTCGGCCCGCTTGCCGCTCCTCATTTCAAATTATTGCTCCAAATTTGTGGGATTACGGTGAACCTCGTAGCGCGCATCTCTTCAAATTTCGATGATAAAATGATAAGTGTTGTGCTGTGCGTCCGTCAAATCTCTTCTCTTTTAAAACAACTGATAAACAAACAAAAGCAAAAAAACCAACAAAAAAAACAACATTTTCTGACCATTAAATGGACTATATTTTGCAGCGCAAATAACCACTTTTCTGCCGTGCTATGGAAGAACTGCGCATGAACCTTCATACGAGGTTACATTTTCTTCAATAAAAATCTAATTTACTGGGAATATTGCGAATGTTTTTTTTCAGTTTTTTTCAGAAAATTTTGCTCGCACTCTTGTCTGTAGTGTCTGAAAATTTCAAGGAAAAATACGCATAATCTTTCTCAAAAATACATGTTTTATCCGTAGAATTTTGGCAACTCTCGAATGTTCATTCGGTGTTCTTCCTTAGCACAGCAGTAAAAAATATTTTTTTTTACTTTCTCGCTCCCGTAGGGTAGAGAGGAAGTATTGTCATCCTCCAAGAAAAAAAAAAAAGTTGAAATTTTTTGTTTCAGATCATCATACATATCAGAGATGGAGTGACATTGCTGTCAAACGAAATCACTAAGCCCTCCACCGGATCAATTTCCTCCATCTCAAAGCAGTTCTAAGCGGCTGTTCCGCGTCCTACAAAGTCATCAAGTGAGTAATTTTTTGCTTTATTGCGTTTTTATACTCGTGGAATGAAGAGATCGCACATTCACAAGCATAATCTCCGGGTATTTGGGCTTTGAGAATATTATTTGCAACCGGATCTGTGTAAATGGACCTTGTCACTTTGGGGGAAAATTTTCGATGAATATTTTATAAATCGGCGGTGAAACTACCAAACCACGTATCTCGTTTGTTGCGTTTAAAAATCGCCGCTCCCATTTGTTTTGTTTGAGGAGAAACAATCAATATTATTCCTTGAAGTTTTTACAGAATTTTCTTCGGACAAGGAGGAAAAATCACGGAAGTTTTAAAGAATTAAAGTTGAGCAATTTTCCCCTCAAAAAATAAAGCATAGCATGAAGTCTTAACGTCGAAAACCGAGATATGTGGTCTGGTAGTTTCACCGCCACCAGTCACCAATTTCACCGCCGAAAGGCAATCCAATGCACTGAATGCATCGGCCTGAGCTGAACACTCTTCCCCCTCAATTTTGTGCTGATGCTCCTTAAAGCTCAAAATCTTTGACTCTAATTGAAAAGCTTTGAACCTTTTGGCCTTGGTCTCCCCGGGATATAGTGTGGACCCAGCACTATTTAACCACCCTGTCGCAATAACTCATATCGTCACCTTCCGACCGAAGTGTATTTTGTACTAATTTGCTGCCTGCACAAATACAAATAAAAAAAATAAATAAAAAAAGAGCAAACCTGATTGCCGGCCATTAAGGGAAACTGGTCACAAACTACGCAGATTGCGCACTAGGGAGTGGATTCCAGACTTCTTTTTATGTGATCGTGATTTTCTCGCAAGTTTACTTTCCATGAAGTCTATTCACTCGGCTGTAACCTGCCATGCTAAGGAAAAACGCCGTATGAGCCTTCAGGCGTTGCCAAATTTTTCCTGGTTAATCACTAATTGTCAGGAAAATTTTCGAATATTTGTCTACCGATTTCTCAGTTAATTTAGTTCGTAATTGGATCTAAAACGTCTGAAAAGTTCAAGGAAAAATATCCATAATTTTCCTCACAAATAAAAATTTTATCGAAGGAAATTTGGCAACTCTGGACTGTTCATACGGCGTTTTTCCCTAGCACGGCAGGATTTCTCGCGTGCAACAGATCCATTAAACGCCGAGTGAACGGCCCGTTTCTAACAGCGCCAAGAAAAAGGGAGGGGTGTGGGGGAATCATGGCTTTCATAAACAGATTTTAAGGGTTGCAGAAAATCCTCTGTCCCTCTATTCTCACTACAGTCGCGATGCGGTTAATTGCAACGGGCTTAAAGTTCAAGACCACGGCGTTGTTTAGGTAGCCGGGATTAAGTAATCCAACCACGTAGCAATTTGCGCTGTGCAAACGACGACGACGCTGGAATCCCTCCGAAATGCGAGCATTTTCAGCCATCCTTCGCGCCGACAACCTCCACTACTTACACTGATTTTATACCACCGTAGCCCCGTACTAAGGAAAAACGCCGTATGAACCTTCAGGCATTGCCAAATTTCCTTTGATAAAACACGAATTTCCTGGTAAATTTGTGGCAAACCTAAGTGAGCTTAACACGAGAATACCCTTGGTTCATAAATTGAACAATTATTGGCGGAGATATGACAAAATAATCTAATCTGCTAAAATACATGCGTTTAAATGGGAAATGCTGCCAATGCCGTCACTATAGGCGGCGCATTTTCTCACTTTTAAATATATTTATATACTATTTCCCATAGCCGAAAAAATCATAAAAAATACCGTAAGATCAGCTCTTTAGGCACTTTCAGATGAAGCAATAAAAAATTTGCGTGCAAATTCTCCATTTGATCTACAATATCTGAAAATTTTGAGGAAAAATATCAAACACTCAACATTTCAAGTACGTTTTATTTTACAATGCATTTCACATTTTTATAAAAGGACGTATATTTTGCATCGAAATTTTAGAGAATTTTCAGGGACAAGAGCACTAACACGGCCAGGCTCCCGGTCACCCTTCCATTGTTGCCAGATTGTGCAGTAAAGTCAGCACATTCCCTACATAAACCAACGTTAAATCTCCACATTTTATCGCATGACCTGACAACATTTCTTAGATCACAGGGTACTCCGCCGTTAATTCTCCCGACATTCCGGGGGAGGCTCTTTGCTCTTCCGCCATCCCTGCGATGACCGATCGACCTCGTGACTTCCAAACAAATCCCACCCCCTCCTCGTCCCCCGCCCTCGGTTTATCGGGGATGAACGGTCGCCGCACACTGGACCGAGTCAATAGGAGAAATCGGACAAAATCTTGAAACTTTGAAAGCTTATATTTTCGAAAATATGAAACAAAAAAGTTTAACAGTGGTTCCATTGGTTTTTTCGTGAACTTTCCTGTCAGAGAGACTCCTTGAAATTTAATTTGTGACGAAATAAACTTCAAAATTTGAAATTATAGCCAAAAATGATTTACACCGTAATTTACAGCACCCACATCGTCAAAAACACTCACACGTGGTCGCTCCTTTAACTTGAGGACATAGCTCAATTTCTGCATGAGCTAGAGAACGCATTGATTTACATGCAAACTTCAGGGCTCACGCGAAAATTGAGAAACTTTGAAAGCTTGTATTTTCGAAAATATGAAACAAAAAAGATCAAAAGTGGCTCCATTGGTTTTTCCGTGAACTTTCCTGTCAGAAACACCCCTTGAAATTTAATTTGTGACGAAATAAACTTCAAAATTTGAAGTTATAGCCAACAATTCTATGTCCGACCTCTTCTATTACTGCCGTGCTAAGGAAGAACGCCGCACGAACATTCGAGTGTTGCCAAATTTATTTTGATAAAATGTTCATTTCTGAGGAAAGTTATGAATATTTTTCCTTGAAATTTCCTGGAACTTTAGATCAAAATACAAACAATATTTTCTGAAAAATTGGAAGAAAATTATTCATAAGTTCACCAGGGAATTTCAAGGTAGATTTACACACGTATGGACAAGTTGAAAATTTCCCATGAGCCTCAGTACGTGTCACATAACTACGTGACGTAGGTTAAGGGGCCCGTTTATTAATTAAATTACAATCAAATTAACATTCAAATGTTTGTGCGTTTAAACGTTAAAATTAATATCGCATTATCAAAATTGTGCAAAAAATCCCACAAAATTTTGACAAACGATAAACCGAACATAATAAATCAAAATAATCAAAACATACAACATGGCGGAAGTTAAGGGGCCTCTGGAGAGCCAATCAGAGGCCAGTTGTTTAGTTCTGTCCATACCTGTGTAAATCTACCTTGAGGGAATTTGTGTTTTATCGAAGAAAATTTGGCAACGCCTGAAGGTACATACGGCGTTTTTCCTTAGCACGGTAGATTAGCTCGTTCCACTGTGCGGCGACGGTAGTGACCAGTGAGGTCTGTCCCTTGAACTTGATTTTCCCCAGGGAGGGTGACCCTCTCGCCCTCTCGGTTTCGCCGCTGACCCCGATCTGTGCGGTATCAGCCCCGGCCGACGGAGATTTTCCGTGAAGCCTCGCGATCGTGTACAAGCTTCCAGGAAGGGCCTCAAAGCTCATCTACGTGGTTAGGATTTCGGCGGGGGAACTGCGAAAACGCTTATCTTGGTTCGCGATCGGAGGTGCAAAATTTCGTGGAAGTTTATAAAATGAAGTTTCATAATGAATATCTGGACGTATTGCTGTTAAACGGAACTAAGCGCCAAGTTGAGTTCCTTTCGAGGATTTTAGAATCCCGGATAGCGCGTCGTTCTGTCAAACGGAACTAAGCGCCATGGAAAAGCATTGCAAGTGTAGGGCGGAACAAGCATCGCGTTCTGCAACACCTGCCAATCCAAGCCCCCTACTCCCTTCCTCCCCCTATGGCGCTTAGTTCCGTTTGACAGAAATACGTTAATTGAAAACCGATCAGGCCCAGTATGTCCTGAAACACATTGAAACAGTAAATTCTTAATTTCGAAATATTGAAAAACAAGCAGTGAACTCCAACACAATGTGTTGATAAGGCGCGTCATTAACTCGCACATATCAACCCCTTTAGTTTTCATTTACAGAGATTTCAAAATAGGCAAACAGCATAAAAAGAGAATTCACGATCCAACACTGCGAGGTCAAAGACGCACCTTGACGAGACCGTGTATTGTGAAAGTAGAAAGCTATTCGATCGAATTTAAGTTTTTTGATCTGCCTCAAGCAAAATCTTATCAGATTCTTGAAGAAAAGTGCTACGGAATAATTTAAGCGAAGAAAGGAAAAATTCTGTCGAACTCCTAGAAGATAAAGTCGATTTAAAGGTATTTTGGGGCTAAAATACCCAAATCACCGGTAGTAAAAATCCCGTTATATTATTGAAAAGAAATTGACTCGATATAAATGCAATTGCATTAAATACGTCTTGATTTTGTTATTTTAAACGTCTTTCCATGCAAAGAAGTTCAACCATGTCGTTGCTTTATTCATTCATGAATTGAAAGTAAGCAATCTACATCCCGAAAATCTACTGATTTGCCGTAAAAAATTGCAGAAACTTGATATACCAGGTCGATGCACCCACTCGTTGAATTTACCAACCAATTTTGTGAGTGCAAATGTGTAAGAATCAATATGCTATAGTCATTTTGGGTGCATTTATTTTTCATGAAACAATAATAATTTCAATCCCGAAAAACCATCAATTTTCCGTATAAAATCGAAAAAATCAAAATATGTCAACTCCCCGACGTGAAAATTAGATTCTACGTATGTAAAATGTAAATACTTATGTATCGATATGCTGAACAGAACTATGTGTGGACAGTCAGAAGCCCGCGGCAACATTAATTCAACAGAAAAACTGTAAAAATTAGATAGGATTTTAGCCGCTTTGCCCGCCTCTCCTCGCTACTTACAACAAACCGTTCTTATACTCATCTCAAAATTTTTCTCAGAGCTTTGGGTTATTATCAGCTTCCATTTAAACTCCGGTTCGATGGCCGAATCGGCTGCCAAAAAA